GAGTTTGGGGGAGTGGAGCCATGAGCCAAGGACTCCTGGGCCTAGCGAACACCTCCAGCAACTGGAAAGCTTCTGAGGTCTCAGAAAAGGAGCGTGACCTGCCCTCAGGGAGTCAACGCTTGTGTGACCCCCTCAGGGACACTTTGCTACAGTGATCCCAAGAGACAAACAATGGAAATCCAGTGCTTCCCCCTCCTCCTCTGGAACCTTCCAAGTAATGGACCTCCATCCGAGCATTGCTAGGCACTGTTTGAGAAGTTCCCAGGACATGGATGGCAAACTCAGAGTTCCCTGGCCTACCCACCAAACCTGGAAGGGTAGGCAAAGTCCCCAGCAGGGTAGGTGTGCTGTCCTGTGGGTGTGGCTGGTCAGCTGACTCCTCAGCCCTCCGGGTCCTACCTATCCTCGTTGCTTTCGTGTCCCTAGACAAAAACATTTTTTGTTTGGTTGGTTTTGGTTTTGGGTTTTTTTTTTAAAGACAGGGTTTCTCTGTAGCTTTTTGGAGCCTATCCTGGAACTTACTCTGTAGACCAGGCTGGCCGCAAACTTGTAGAGATCGGCCTGTCTCTGCCTCCTGAGTGCTAGAATTAAAGGTGTGCGCTACCACCACTCAACGACAAATCACATGACTTCTTGGAGACATTCTAAATAAAATGATTACGGGACAAGACAAGCCCAGCGCCAGGAATCCGGAGCCCTCTTGGTGACATTGACTGACCTTAGCAAGTATCGCAGGGACTACAGATGAGTGTGGAACATTCTCTGCATCCTCCCTCAGCACTATCTCCAGATGACGCTCACACCCCAGCTGAGTAGGATCCAGCCACCGTACCCAGCAATCAGCCTGCAAATAAATGCAAGCAAAAGTCAAGAGTCTGGAGAAAAATGTGCCCTACCTATGGTCCTCCCCAGGCCACTGGCAGCAGCCATAACTCAGGACATGGCCTCCCAGCACACGCCAAGGCCGGGCATCTGTCTGTGGGATTCAAGGGTCCTGCATAGCAATAAATTCACCCACTTCCCTGCTGAGACCAATAAATCCAGCCGGCTGAATGCTCTGTAACTCAGCTGTGTGGAATTCAACATACTTCCCTGGGGAAGCAAGAACACGCCGTGCTGTGAAGGGTCATCGTGACATTCCTACTCTAGCCCCAAGATCCAGGAGACTGTGGTGTGGACTCAGTCACTCTGGAGACATGAGACAGCCACAGGCAAGCCAGCAGCGAGCTCCTTTCTGGGCTACATAGCCAGCGACGGCTGTCACCCCAACTCCACATCCCAAGCCCTCTGGTGGCAAAGATGTCTTATGGGTGCCTGGAGAGATGCCATCTTTGAGATGCTGATGCAGCCAGCCACTGCTCCAGGCCTTCTAGATCTTTCTCAGTGCTGTGTGACCAATGATACTAGCTGTTTCTATGGTGGTATGTTTACAAATGAACGCGTTTTGCGAAGCCTCGGGAAGGACTGTTGAGTCTGCTTCTCCACACACCTTTGTTAGTGTCAGGCCTGGGTCTCTGGCACTAGCTATGCTCACAGCATGGCCATGAGGCAGTGCAAACCCAGCCCTCCCTGTAATGAGAGGAAGTCTCCCTCCTGATCCTGCAGCCTGGGCCCAGCCTGTGTCCTGACCTTCTCTGCTGAAGTCTGCTTATCTGCCACCTCTTGGCTGACTGTGTGTCGCTTTTCTGCATGGCCCTTGGGCTCCATCCTGGCCTCCATGGACACACCTTCCACAGTCCCCAGAGGGGACTGGAGAGGTGGCCACCCTTTCTAGCTCTCCACTTCTTGGTGCTCTCCCTGTCCATCCGTCTGTCTGACTTCCCATGCACCCTGCAGTAATCGCTTTCAGTCCTTTGCACCCTCCTCCTTGGGGTTTGGGTAGGCGGGTGTGACCAGAACTCATGGTCAACCCTGGGTACAGTGAGGAATGCAGGACAGTTGGGCAGGGGCTCTAAACATAGCTGTGGGAGGCAGAGGCAGGGAAGAGCCCAGGAGTGAAGAGCGGTATTAAATAGCAGAGTAGACTGGGCAGAAGAGAAACCACCAGGCACAGAGTTCTGAGCCTGTGCAGACCCCAGAAAAGAGTGGATGTGGGTCAGAGGGAGAAACCTCCAGGAAGTCCCAGATCTCCAGGATAGAGGCCCAGGTCACAGGAAGACTGGTGGCCATGGGTTCAGGTGATTGGGAGAACAAGGAGGTGCAGGTGCCGGAGGAGGGTGAGACGTGGCCTTCATCTCTGTGGGAGGAAGCTCTTCTGTGTTGGCACACTGGGAGGAAGGAGTGAGAGAGCCAAGAAGGGGGAGTTAGGGAGGGCAGCTACCTCGTAAGCATGTGGAGTAGGCTGAGACTTGCAGGAAGAAAATAAAGGCGGAGGCTGCCCGAAAGCCTGCCCCTCAGACTATCAGACACCATCAGGGTCCTGCTGAGAGGACAATACAGGGGCCGCTGGGGTCTAGGATGACCCTTGGCAACACAACGGAGGCTACTTCCCCTGCCAGGGCTGCTTTCCAGGCTTCAGAAGGGGACCCTCCTCCTCCTGCTCCTCCTTCTGCCTCTCCTCCTCCTCCTCCTGCTCCTCCTCATCTTCCCCTCCCCTTCTCCTCCTCCTCCTTCTCCCCCTCCTCCTCCTCATTCCCCTCTTCCTTCTCCTCTTCCTCCTCCCTCTGCATCTTTCAGAAAGAAAAACTAAAACTGCTTAGTCCTTGCTCTGCTCCAGGGCTGGGAACGTTCCTGGGTCGTTTCCATGGCAACCCATGGACCTGCTTCTTCCTTTTGGCTCAAAGTGTTCAAGCCTGAAGCATTCTCACCTCACCCTAAGGGCTAGCCATGAACACAGCCAGGCCTCACGATTTCCAGATGTGGTTTGGGCTCTAGAAACCTCTGTCTTCCTCAGTAACTTCAGTGCCCACGCACCGCTCTGCTGGTCTCTCCCCTCTCCCCGCTTCCCCCATTCTCTTCCCCCACATCTCTCTCCTCCCTCCCCCCTCCCTTCCCTTCCTTCTCCCCACCCCTCACACACACATTTTATCTTCTGATGCCCAAGTGACAGCCCCTCACTCTTAGAAGGGACTAAAGAAAATCTCCAGGTCTTGCCTAGCACGCCACACTCCTTACGCAGCTGTTACAAGTTGTGTGGTCACGGGTCCCGTTCTCTCTCCTCTATGTCTGTGGTCACGGGTCCCGTTCTCTCTCCTCTATGTCTATGGTCACGGGTCCCGTTCTCTCTCCTCTATGTCTGTGGTCACAGGTCCCATTCTCTCTCCTCTATATCTGTGGTCACCGGTACCGTTCTCTCTCCTCTTTGTCTGTGGTCACAGGTACTGTTCTCTCTCCTCTATGTCTGTGGTCACGGGTACTGTTCTCTCTCCTCTATGTCTGTGGTCACAGGTACTGTTCTCTCTCCTCTATGTTTCAAGTTGTTGTTTCAAAGACCAGAGTTAGCTTCAGTGGACCCAGTGTAGAAGCGTGTTTTCCGTCTCACCACGCACCATGGAACTCGCGAGTGTCCTAAGAGCCCTCCCCCGGCATCTCCAGACTTCTCTATTCCTCGCAGGCACATGCCCTAGTTTATGGAACCAGTACTCTGTTATGAGCTTATTAAACAAACCGCTTCCCTGCCCTCCTGGACATGAGCTTCACAACTTGAGGATACGTTTTCCAGCTGTCTATTCTGAGGTCATTGCTGACCCAGCCCATCATATGGGCTACCCCGCTCTGTTCCTCCCACAGGCAGAACTCTCCCCCGGGGCCTTTCTTCTGGGGCCTGGGTCATCATCCTCTCCTGTCCCAATTCCTTCTCTCTAGCGAGGCCTTACCTGCCTCCTCTGCAGGCCCCTTTTTTGCCACTTTGTTTTGTGTGACAGCCTTACAGTGCAGCCCAAGCTGGCCTAGGAATCGTCCAATCTCAATCTGTGGCAATCCTCCAGCCTCAGCTTCCTGGATGCTGAGCTCACAGGCGTGGGCCACTGGTCGTGGCCAAGTCCACTTTCTTGCTCGATTAATCCGCATGTCCCTTGACTATGGCCTCCCTTCTCCTCTAGGGCGCATGATCAGCTTTCAGCTCAGTCTCTGCCTGTTGTGTTGCCGTTCTCAGTGATCGTGAAAAGGCAGGGATAACGTTTTTCTGGCTGACCTCTCCATAAAACTAAGCACATGGCATGATGCCTGGCATGCCAAAAGTGTTCAGTTAATAGTGTAGACTGGCTCTTTTCAATCACACAGTGGAGTAGTATTTGGTCATAAAAAGGATGGAGGTTTAAAACCTCTAGGCTCAGGGAAAGAAGCCAGACACAAAAGGCCGCAGATGATGTAACATCATTTACATGAAGTGTCTGGAATAGGCAAATCCAGGGAAACAGAAAGCAGACAGGAGTCTGGGGAGGCTGGGATAAAGGACTGAGTCACAGGTGACTTTCCTTCTGGGGTGAGGATGGCCTTCTGCAATTGGGTGGTAGAGACGGTTACGTTCAGTTTCATGAGGCTGTCAAAACCTTGGGATTGTTTTTTTTTCAAGGGCAAAGTTTATGTGTGTGGTCTATATTTCAATAATGGCATCTTTATGGAGTCCCTCCATTTATACCTCAGCAGCAAGGCTTCACGCAGGATCAGTTGGTACCCAGTGAGCAGCCTTGCATTGGGACTTACTCGTCACCAACCTCAGGTCCTGTGGCTCAGGGCATTGGCAGTCCTGACTCGGGTCTAGTCTGCTGCCAGGTCCCCCAGAAGTGAAAAAAGCATTTTTTTCTCCCAGGTCTACTCTGCCCTCTGCAGAACAGGGAAAAATTCAGAACCAGTCAGGGGAATGGATAGCTTAGGAGGACTCTCTCAGGTGCTGGAGGCGGGTGAGGAGGTTTGCCGTTGAGGTTCCTCAGATACATGGTAGCAGCTAGGCCACGGCATGGAAAAAGATGCTGCAGGCTCCTGCCGCTGCATCGAGAGCCCTGGGATCAACTGGAGATGTCTGCCCTGGGTGTCCCCATCTGACCCGACGTCTGTTCCAGGTACATACGTGATGACCGTGACAGCCAACGACGCCGATGACAGCACTACAGCCAACGGCATGGTGCGGTACCGGATTGTCACCCAGACACCCCAGAGCCCCTCCCAGAACATGTTCACCATCAACAGTGAAACAGGGGACATCGTGACAGTGGCAGCGGGTCTGGACCGGGAGGTAAGATGGGCCATGGGCCTCGTGACAGCAGCAAGCGCTACCAATCAAATGTACAGTTAGGAAGTCAGGGATATAGGTGGTGTTCGGCATCGACTCCTGCATACGCTGCAGGGAAGTGGCCAGCTGACACCCCGTGAAATCCCCCAGAGCAGGCCAAGTGGTGCAGCAACACCTCAGGGACTCAGAAAAGCCGGGATGAACTCCCACGTTCTCAGGATCCTGCCAGCATTGTACTCCGGGTCTAGGTCCTTGGAAGCCTGTCTTCCTGAGCTGTCTAGACATGCTCAACCACAAGTGAGTAACTGTGTGCCCCCCGGGACATAACAGGTACAAGAGGGTGTTCCTGGACACCGAGTCCTGCCTGAATCATCAGACAGATGGTCACTTGCCTGGACAGGGTTCTATGCCCTGGGATGTGTGTGAGAGAAGGTAGCCCAGCTGAAGCCCACCAGAAACAGTAGAAGTGACTGCCTGTCCCTGTCTGGCCCACTTTCAGGGTCCTGGAAAATCTATAGCCAGCCTCTGACTGACAGTTCTCAGCCCGCAGTCAGGACGGTGTTGTCTGCCCTCATCACAGCCTGGATTTCTGTGTACCCTGTGACTACAGAGGCTAGCCACACAAGACTCACTGGGGGCCAGGAGGGAGCCCCACTGAGCACAAAGACACCCACAACCGCAGGACTCCTTTGTGGAGATGTGGCTGCAGCTTTCCTAGCTGTACTCCATCCTGGTGGCCCAGCTGTCCCCGTCTCAAGTTTCCGAAAGCTCCACCGCGTCAGCCTCAGTCTCTGGGTCTGCAGGGTCTTCACCACAAGCCTGGGCTGCTCAGCTGGAACTAGCGGCTCGTGGTGTCATGCCTTAGGAACAAGCTGGCAAGGAAGTGGCAGGTCTCCTCCCTCGGAGTTCTCACATCTAGGGGTCTGGCAGGTCTGAGAGCTAAGAGGCACCTGCGGCCTTCAATTCCCATCTTGACTCTAAAGCTCAGAGGTCTCTGGAAAACTCAAACTACCCCAGCCATCTAAGTTGTAAGGGGCAGTGCACAGGGTGGTACTTGGACAGTGACCCTTTGCAGCTGTGTGACGTGGAAGGAAGGGGTAATGACCTTAGAGACAGTATGGGTTGGACCTGGCTGAGGTGTGGCCTTTACTGGCTGTGTGACCACGAACATGTAAGAGGGCCAGTCACGGCACCTTCTCCTGCGAAGGTATGACAATGCTGGCCTTTGGGCTCTGAAGGTCCAAGGTGTGTGTGTGTGTGTGTGTGTGTGTGTGTGTGTGTGTGTGTATACATTTACATGTGCATGCGTGTGTATGTGTGAGTCTGATGAAGACAGAAATATTAGGAGGTGTCCTCATGCCATATGCAGCTGGGATTGGCAGTTGGGGTACGCGGCTGAGCTTCCCTTAGACATCCAAGGACAAACTGAGCCTAGCATGGGTGGGCATGATGGAGCAAGCCTCAGCCTCTGTATTTTCTCCCTCCCCTGGGGCTGGTCGAGGACACTGTGGCGACCTGCTTCCTTCCTCAATGGCTTCAATTGCTAACGTTCTGTTCCAGCAAATTTCTCTTCTCTCCACCACTCCTATCTCGTTCTCCAGAAACAGAACCAAGCTGATGGAGAGGAAACAGCAAACAGAGAGCTTGGTCGGGGTGAAGTAGGGGCTGCCCTCGAAAGGACGCAACGAGCTCCGGGGTGTGAGAGCCGGGGATAGCCACTAGATTGAATTCCAAACAGAAATGATGGCATTTCGCAGGCTGTCTTTAGCTAGGAGGATCTGGCCTTCCTTATGTTCAGAGAGAGCAGAAAGGGTGACCACCACGAGGACCCAATAAGGAGGAACAGGGTTGGCACAGAGGAGACCCATTCAGGTATGGAGGCCCCTGTGGTCACTTCAGTAGACATTGTCACAAAAAGGACAACAGGACACCAAGGAAAGATTGTAATCTAGGGGGAGAGGATGACACAGCGTGTCCCATTGTGAGCGCTGGGCATCTTCTACAGAGGGGAGAGGGCCACACAGTGCGCCCCATTGTGAGCGTGACACAGCGTGTCCCATTGTGAGTGCTGGGCGTCTCTCTATGTCCCACATTGCTGCTCAGATGATGAACAGACAGTCAGGCCCTGACTCCGTCGCTGTTCTAGGAGGGAAGCAGTAAGCTGTGTGTGCCTGGGGAGCAGTGCCTGAGAGGGCTCAGAGACATAGTAGGGTCCCTCAACAGTGCCTTCTGTGTTACCACCTCCCAGGGACTGGTTCCCAGGATCCAGGCACAGAAAGCCATGTCTACAAAGGCCTCCAGTTGCAGTGAAAGCAAGACCATCTGGGTCATAGGTGCCCAGACTCCTGGGCCTTCCCCTGGCCACACATGTCCCTCAGGCCAGGTCCAGAACACCAGCTTCTGTGCCAGTCTTCCCATAGATCACTGGGCCTTGACTGCTGCCTTGTGAACTGGAGGTGGAACCAGTGTCCGGGGCACCTTCTGAGCCACAGAAAGTTCTCCCATTTCATCGCCACGTAACCCAGTCCCTCCCCTTGGAGAAACTGCCCCTGTGTGCCCAGCACCAAGTACCCACTGAGCTGAGGACTCAGAGGCTTGGCTCAATCCAGGGACTTGTGAGTTTAGCCTGAGACATTGAGATGTAACCTAGCCACTCCCGCCTGGTAAGGACGTGGTATCTGGGAAAGAGGAAGCAGGCTTTGTGCCCTGGTGTGTTAATGAGCCAGGGCTGCTGGAGGGCTCAGTGATGCTCAACCCCTTCCTTCCTTATCTCCCCCATGCCCCTTCCCCCTACTCTTCCCATCCCTTCTTCCATCCTCTCCATCTCTGCCCTCCTCCTTCCTCATCCCTCTTCTCCCTCCTTCTCGTTCCTTCTTCCCAGTGGAAGGGACCTTCCTGGGGGTGAAAAGCCTCCAGAATGTTCTTGCTCAGAGTCTCAGCCTCTGGGGTGGGGGCTGACGGTAAGCATAGTCTCTGGAGGGAGGGAGCGCTCACAGACATGCCGTTCTGGCACAGATGTGTGCCCTGTGCTCCAAGGGCTCCACCCTGTAGGATACCTACCTGCCGACTTCTAGTGAAGGCCTCTCTGGTACCCTAGCCTCACACAGACACACTTCACTACACATCTGGTTAACTGTCTCCAGGCATTTGTGAACTGTGAAGTGGGTACTGGCAACAGTTAGCACAGGACACAGCCAGAGCCAAGGCACTACTTGGTCCAAGAAGCCATTTGCCTCCACAGAAGCTTCAGGCTATGTGACAGGCCTTAGAGGGCCATTTCTCCACCACACCCACCACCCCTGCTCCAGCTAGGCATGAACACTGCCAAATCTAAAGGACCTCACCAAGGCTCCTCCTTGTCATCTCTCCTGTAAGGACCTCCTGTCCACCACCACGCAACAGGTAGGCTTAGGGGAGGGTGCCACGGGCAGGTCCCTTCAGGACCCACTTCCTGCTCAAGGCAGTGAGCTATCCTTATGACATGGGAAACCCACAGGCATGATTGCCGTGCATCTAATTAGGAGAGCTGTATGAAGTGAGCGCTTCTGCATGATTAAATGTCAGGAGAAACTCAGAAGGGCTCAAGTGGCTCTCAGGTCCCTGCCCCACCTGCTAATCCTGCTCATCTTCCCACGTTCCCTAATTAGAATATTTATGGCCTAATAAGAAGATTGAGCGCCACTCCTGGCTGCTCTGAAGGTGAGAGCCAGGCTTTGGAAGCAGCAGGGGTTCTGATTGCTTAGCTTCATGATTAGCATCTAGTCATACTGTGGTCACACATTCCATGCTGTCCTCCGTGAGGCTGATTTCACTGTCACGGGCTCCATCCAGTTCAGGTCCCACCACATGGTGACCATCAGCTGGTCAACTTCTCAGTCTCAAACTTCTCCTCAGCACATGGGCCAGATTAATTACCCCAGGGTTGGAAAAGATCCCGAGGAAATCCAAACCAGCCCCCTCCTGTACTTATTTAGACTCATGTCAGATAGAAAGCGTTCTGTTCCCTCCAAAACAGGAGGAAAGGGTGAAGGGAGGCAGCACAGAGCAAACCCCACACAGCGGCTGTCAGCTGCCCGGTCTCTGCTTTCCACCTGCCAAATGTAACCTGACTCAAGAGTGGGGTGCATGTAGGCATGGGCCCCTCATTCTTTCAGGCCACAAGGAGTGTAGCTCCCAGGGTCCCAGCCAGGCTGTGCAATCAAATCCATGCAGAAACGAGCTTTTTCTGCAGTGACATCGATTGATTGTTTTTTCTTATCACAAAGGCTACTTCTCTTTGATAGAAAAGAAGGAAATAGCAGGCCTGCATCCCACAGTGTGGTGCAGGAGGCATGGTGTGAGGCAGGCTGTGGCCTTCCCCGAGCCTCGGGTGCTTGCCTGTCCCCTGTGTTCCTGCAAATGATCCTTGAAGCCACTGTGGCACTGAATGCCATTGCCCATGACAGCAAAAGGACCCTTTCGACTTTCCCCTACACACCAGGGTCTATCCTCTGCCTTCTCAGACGCCCCTGTGACTCTTCCCTTTTCTCTGTCCCTGTTGGTGTCAACAGACAGCACAGAGGTCAGACGGGTGTATTAACTGACATCATGAAGCTCCTGAGTTACGGACAGGACGGGGAACTTAAGGGTCCAGAGACAAGAAGTCCCCGGGCCCGGTCAACTCTGCTGCAGAGCCATATAGCTCTTTGGCCACTCGCTCTGCCCTCCTCTGTTGCCACATGCGAAAGTCAACACACTAAGGAAAGGCAGCCGTCCCTTCCTGTGGTCTCTTGTGAGTGTGGGCATCCCTTGAGGATACTCTGCAAACATCTTCTTCAGCCCGATGAGTGGTGACGGGTCCCCACCTGAGCCCAGGCCAACTGCTGGTGAGAGTGTGAACACCACCTGAGCCCAGGCCAGCTGCTTGTGAGAGTGTGAACACCTCCTGAGCCCAGGACAGCTGCTGGTCAGAGTGTGAACACCTCCTGAGCCCAGATCAGATGCTGGTCAGAGTACAGGCAATA